AGGCATGATAGGAGCTGGCGGTTTAGTTGACAACAATCCCTCTGGTGGCATGAAGAGACCCAACCCTTTCGGTGGAGCACAATCGTTTTATGGTGGCGGTGGACTCGGGTAGGAAATTCACAAATGACGTAAGAGAATATATGAAAGATAAACGGTCGCGCTCTACCAATATAGTGTCTGTGGACGTGTTTAAAGTTAAATGCTGCAAACCATATAAAGATATGACAGAATTGTTGCCTGGTTGAAATTGAACAATAAAATTCACTGGAACATGCCCGGCAGTTCCCTTAGGTTTGTTAATGCTCCGGAAAGCTTACGCAATAGTTGAATAGTTTATGTGGCTCCGGTGCAACGGGGCGCGGAACAGCATTTAATCGTTGATCATGGACCGAATGATAATATAGAGACATTTGTTACTTTAAGATATAGTGTAATGTAAAAGATCAAATCGAAATTATTGAATTCCTCCTATTCTAGCCGTGTAACTGGTTCTGTGCTAGTCAATAGAAATTCAAAATGGCTGTCATGCCTAAAATCAACAAATCGCTGTTCTTTTCTCAAAAACAATTAAGAATGAAACAACCACGGAATGTTTAGTCATATACGACTTAGCACTATAACGTAGCAATGCCGGTGTTTTTCATTTTCAGTTTAATCTTTCAGAAAAATAAAATTTTCGGAAAAGTCACCCGGGGCCGCACGGACACGTACTTTTCGACCCTTAATTTCAGGATAACTCTAGGAAAACTCAACATTTCGAGCTCAAACGTTTTGTGTGATATATCAAACATAAGGCACATATTCTGTGAAAATTTTATCAAGATCAAATGTTCTGGAACTACAATAGGTTCTTGACAACGGGAATCCTTAAGTTATGACTGTAGGCCACTAAAATCTGATCAAACTGACATATCTCCCACCTCTACCTGTCCTTTCTCTGCAAGAATTTAGAAGAAAAGCCCAAAATTTCACCCTCATCCTCACACTCAAAAAAAAAGTACTTGAAGCTGCTCTCGTCTATACATTTATATAGAAGAGAGAACGACTAACACACTAGCTCTTAACTACAATTTAAGGATCCCTCCTGTCGAGAATCTATTGTTATTCCAGAACATCTAATCTTGATAAAATTTTCACAGAATATGTGCCTTATGTTTGCTATATAACACAAAAAGTTTGAGCTCGAAATGTTGACCTTTGCGAGAGTTATCCTGAAATTCAAATTTTACCTTGAAAATCAAAAAGTAGGTGTCCATGCGGCCCAGATTTCTCCGCTACTTTACATGTTAGAAAGCTCGGAAAGATCTTAAACTGTAGCCAAGACTTGTAGCTACAACGTAGCAAGGCCAGAATTTTAAAGTTTTTTCTATTCAATTTTTTCGAAAGCTTGTGTTAAAAAAAGGTAAAGATATTACGGATTACTGACGGCAGTTTTCTCCTATACCGCATGTTGAAGAATAAAACTTGATTTCTATAGTCAAAACTTGTTTTGCGTTTTTCTCAATTTTCTATTTTTCACCTGTTAGTGCGGCCCAGATTTCTCCGCCATTTCACAAGCTACAAACCTTGGGAAGGTCTTAAAATGAAGCGACAACTTATCGCTATTACGCAGCAAGGCCGGATATTTTTATTTTCAGTTTAAGTTTTCGGAAAAGTAACATTTTCTGAAAAGTAACCTGTCATTTTCCTTAAGTTATGATTGTAGCCCGCGAAATTCTGATCAAAATGACATATCTCCCACCTCTACATGACCTTTCTCTGCAAAGTTACAGCATTTACAAGAAAAGCCCTAAATTTCACCCTCACACTCAAAAAAATTACTTGAAGCCGCTCTCGTCCATACATTTATACAGAAGAGAGAACGACTAACACACTATCTCTTAAATACAACTTAACGATCCCCCCAAATTAAACTGAAAATAAAAGTATCCAGCCTTGCTACGTTATAACGATAAGTTGTCGCTTCATTTTAAGCCCTTCCCAAGGTTTTTAGCTTGTGAAACGGCGGAGAAATCTGGGCCGCACTAACCGGTGAAAAATAGAAAATTAAGAAAAACTCAAAACAAGTTTTGACTATAGAAATCAAGTTTTATTCTTCAACATGTGGTATAGGAAAAAACTCACGATAGTTCGTCAGAGGTTGTCAACTATGGCGAATAGAATGAACGCATGCAGAAATACGTACGGGATACTATTCTACTGGCTGAAATTTGCAAAAAAAGTTGAGGGTTTCAGGAAAACGTCTGTAATACCCTCAAGCGCCATCGTAAGCTCCCAACTTCTCCGAAGCCAACCAGTGGGTTGTAACCAACAACACCTCCATCCCTAACAGGCGGATTGTACCTGACAAATACACCAGCTCCTGCCGCGCCGCCTGATGGGTTGTCGCCAACGACGCCTCCAGTCACAATTGAGGGATTGTAACCACCAAAGCTCCCAGCTCCTCCGAATCAACTAGAGGGTACATCTGTGTAGAAGCAAAAGCCTTCTGCCCTATTAGGGTGGATATAGCTACTTAAGCCTGTCGGTTGAAATCCGAACATGTTCCTTTGTGGCGTTTACAGATGAGTGCGTCTGTTTTCTTGTTGGATCACACTTTTCTTCTTTTCGGCTCTTTCTTCTTTCTCGACTTTTGTTCTTTCGGCTCTCCGCTACTACCTCGACATAGGGTGATGTGAAATAGATTATATTTCCGGTATAATCTTCTTTTCTTCTCAGGTATATTTTTTATTCTTCTTTTCTTTTCGATGTGTTTCATCAACGAGGTGCGTATTCAACATTACGCATAGAAGCTCCCTCAACCTCACCCTCGTTGTTAGGATGGATGATGTAATGAGTTCGGAGTGGTCGACTGTTTAAAATGTGGATACTGATGACTGCGAAAAATGGTGTGCGGGGACAATACTTTTGACAACTAGCCTAATTCAATATTAGAACACTAAGCAGTACAAAAGATAAAAGAGCATAGGAAGTGGATAACTGCTGTGTATATTGTTTAAATAAACTATTTTACATTAATTGCTAGCTTTCGACTGTATTCAAAAGTCATCTTCAGGCAATATGAAGAAAAGTAAACACGTTAGCATTCAACTACAATTATAACACAGAATAGGAAAAAGAATTCATTGGGTATTATTGATCATTTAAATACTGTTCTAAATTCACCGATCCGTTCATTTTTACTTGAAGTTTTGTTAGCTTTACCTTATCGTATGTTCAACTGAACAAATGATATTGAACCTGTCGAATAATTGTAATCAGCCGAATACTCGTAGTGTATATATTACGTCTTTAAATGAATTTCCGTGACTTTCATCAGTTACGCGACTCTTCTTAATAATATGTTTTCAACCAGTTTGTTTCAAAGGTGAGCGACTCTACCTGATGAAAATCGATCTCGTGACTATTTGCATAGCCATGTAGAACGAGCTTCAAGTCATGATCAGTGTTTATCACTGCTTGTTTGTGTTCGGTTATCCATATATCTGTAGTGCGTGCTGTTTCTCCATAACTGAGCATATGATAACTGAGCATATGGTAAAGCTATGATCAATAATACCCAATAAATTCTTTTTTCCATTCTGTGTTAACACTATAGTTGAATGCTAACCTATTTACTTTTCTACATATTGCCTGAAGATGACTTTTGAATACAGTCGAAAGTTAGCAATTAGTCGAAAATAGTTTAAATAAACTATTCACAGCAGTTATCCACTTCTTGTGCTAAAGAAGAAAATTGTGATCCAACCAATTATTAGTCCTTGATGAATTGAGTTTTGTTGGTTTTTCCAAGTGCAATACATGTATTCCCCTCAAATAACAAACACCCAAATGTCTGAGTGTTAGACTGCTTTTTCGTGCATATGCATACATTTGTTTCGCTTGAACGGTTTAGCAATGATACTATACTCAGCGCCTTCATTATTCCTATCATCTCATTATTTTTATTATTTGCAAACCACACAATTATTATCTTGCAAACGTTCATTGTATCAAGAATTAGCAAGAAAACAGACGCACTCATCTATAAACACTAGAAAGGAACATGTTCGGATTTCAATCGGCAGGCTTAAGTAGTTACGGATACCCTAATAGGACAGAAGGCTTTTGCTACTACACATACGTACCCTCTAGTTGGTTCGGAGGAGCTAGTAGCTTTGGTGGTTATAGTCCCTCAACTGCAACTGGAGGCGTCGTTGGCTACAACCCATCAGCCGGCGCGGCAGGAGCTGGTGTCTTTGGCGGGTACAATCCCCCTACTGCTACTGGAGGCGTCGTTGGCTACAACCCACCGGTTGGCTTCGGAGGACCTGGGAGCTTTGGCGGTTATAATGGCCCTACTGCTACTGGAGGCGTCGTTGGCTATAACCCACCGGTTGGCTTCGGAGGAGCTGCGAGCTTTGGCGGTTATAATGCCCCTACTGCTACTGGAGGCGTCGTTGGCAACAACCCACCAGCTGGCAGTGGGAGGGCTGGCAGCGTTGGTCGGAGAGGTCCCCCAAGAGGCCCAAACGCAGCTCGTGGGTTTGGTGGTACCCTCACACTCAATCTCAACCTCACCATCCCTGTTGGGATAGGAGGAACGGGCGGTTTGAATGTCTCGAATCCCTCTGGTGGCATGATAGGAGCTGGCGGTTTAGTTGACAACAATCCCTCTGGTGGCATGAAGAGACCCAACCCTTTCGGTGGAGCACAATCGTTTTATGGTGGCGGTGGACTCGGTGGCTCCGGTGCAACGGGGCGCGGAACAGCATTTAATCGTTGATCATGGACCGAATGATAATATAGAGACATTTGTTACTTTAAGATATAGTGTAATGTAAAACATCGAAGCTCCAAAATCATTGAATCCGTCCTGTGCTAGCTGTGTACCCATGCATGTTGGCGCCGGAGAAAAATCTACTGGTGTCACAGCTAGATAGTTTCTACATGAAATTTTGTTGGTTTCACTATCGAGTTGAGAGTATGTATTACATAATACTATACAAAAAACACCTAACATATGAAAAGTATGAACTTTTGCCAGGCTCAGAGGCACGGGCAGATATATATATATATCAAAAATCTCAGCATTAATTTCATGCGGATTTAGCGTTAAATTCGGAATAGGGACGTCCAGAAAAAGAATTTTATTTCTGCTTTTAGGCGCCTTTATTCTGGCGCCACTGCCAAAGTGTTTTCGCACCTAAACACGGATATTAGACTTTTTGCTCTTTGTTTATTCTGTGGCATTTATCTAACTTTTTAAAGAAATAATTTGTAGCGATCAGTTGACTATTTCAACACTGAAAAGTAGTATCATACGAACGGGATAGGATTTAACTGGTTCTGTGCACTAACCAATAGAAATTCAAAATGGCTGCCATGTCTAAAAATCAACAAACAGCTGTTCTTTTCTCAAAAGTAATTAAGAATGAAACAACTATAGAACGTTTAGTCATATACACTATGAAAGGAGGGTTCAATCTTTCTTTTCTGTTCTGTCGCTCTATATCGTGCAAACATATAAATTGAAAAATGATTTACAGTTCAGAGTATCTGAAAGTATATGATGGTTCAGTTGATCTCTCTCTCTGCGTTGCATTTCTTTAACAATTACTTTCCTTTTCTGCCGTCTTCATGTATTCTGTACTCAAATACAGTGACCTATCAACGAATCGTTCATTTTTAAAAACAACCGGTCGTTTCTCGTTAGGTCGATTGTAACGATTAATTGATAAGAATATAATTGCTTTATATGCGGATTTAATAAGAGAGAAATAATGTGATGTACCATAATAAATAAAATTTGCATTGAAAACTGTAATAATGTATATCTTTCAATACTGTGTTAAACAAAAAAATAGCAAACCAGAAACAGTTACAATTAGCTGTCTCCCAATCCGCAGGGCTCTAGTGCTGAGACTTGATATTTTATTACTGTCTGACATTTTTGAATTTTGAAAAAAATTGGTGATAACACGCACATCCGTTTCATAGGGTTATATATCTGAATTTCGAATATCATTCCCAATTATATGTAATACTTTGATACAAATCTCATCAGTAATATTTAGGAAACAAAGCAAACTTCTTACATTGTAACATTTTCAATTTCATAATTATTGGATTAATTAACTACTTAACAACAACTTAACGATAATCCATTTTTTGAGCGCATATTTATGTAAACGATCATAACTTACACAACCAACACAGTATCAGACGTTGTCTTTTTCCGTCGTTTTAGTCACGTTCAAACAAGGTTATATATCATTATTGTCGGATGTATGATACTCCTCTGTGGACAGTATATCAGACAGGACAATAAGACGCAAAGTGAAGGGAAAGAAACGGAAACGACAAATCACTCGTTGGTCTAATTATACATATATAGACATATTGTTTCATTGCTTTCCTTGCGATAACAATTTTAACAATTAACAACAAACAACAAATAACAATTAACAACAAAAAAGAAAATCTAAAAGGTAGTATCAAATTTTAAATTTATGTCTACACAAAAGAGAACCTCATCTGGAAGAATGGCCAGTTTTGGACTAGAGAACCGTAAGATGTCATCTTCACAGGCGACGCCTCATGGCACACTTAATCCGTATCATCGGTACACTAAAAGCGTGCCACGGGCATACTTGAACTGTATCATCAGTAGGCTAAAAGTACAATAAATTGCAAAAGAATCGCAATAACTATCTATTCCAATAAATTTGACCAAGATACATTAGAAGTACACTTAGACTACACTAACGATGTGAATCAATGCACACTCTGCAGCTATTCAAATCGCTAGTGTAGTCTAAGTGTATACATTAGAAGTACTTCTAATGTATCATGGTCAAATTTATTTGAATAGATAGTTATTGCGATTTTTTTTGCAATTTATTTAAGACCAGCGGACATACTTGCAAAAGACGATGGAATTCATAGCAAAGGAATCGGTTGGTCATAAGTCTAAATTAGCACAAGATCATTTTTATTAGTACAATTCAGTTATCCGCATAAGTTTCGACAACTACCGAACGTTGATTTTCCTGTTATTGCGGGATTGTGGCAAAGATAAGTCCATATGGATGCAATAGAACCCATGTAGAGTTAGTGGTTGATACAGTTTTCACCGACCACTTATACTCTAAATGGTCTAACAAACAATAACCGATTCTGTTGGTTTTCACAGTCTGAAACAACCGTAAATCTTCGTCAAAACCAATCGAATCAAGTTCATAATAAATGAATACAACATGACTGCCATGAGATAAAATATACTTGATTTCCGCGAATTTTGGATCTGGAGATACACTTTCTGAAGATATACATATTACAGATTTTAACAATGATGTTGGTGTAACGGGCAGATGAATATTGCTTGGTATTTGTATATCACTTAGTTTCATTTTGCTAATGACACGCAGGTCCGGATCACTCAATACTTTGCTACATAATGACGCACCGCTGTTACGGTCCACTACTGAACATCACAATTCATGTCTTTTTGCAAATGTCCACGTCAAATTCAAGAAATTTCTTGACTTGTTGGCTTTGAAAAACTGATGTTTTCTTTCCGATGCAAGACAGTTGATGTATCTAAGCAAGAGTAAGAATGAGTAAAAAAGACGTTGGGTTACGATTAGCTCACCTCAATGGGCCAAACAAAGCTATTTGTCTCGGAAAATGCGTCAGAAAATGAAATTTTGGTTTCATCTTGTCCGGATAAAGCAATCTGAATTGTTTGTTCTGAAACGAAATTAACCGCTTCAATAGTGTTTGTGTTGTGTCTTGAACATCGGTCGCGAAACACAAGTCAACAATGTCCAACAGCGATAAAATTACCCGATAATTGGTAGAATTCGGTGGTGTATTCGGAGAATGAAAGGTAAATTGCAGAGAAGGACATATGTCTGCATACTCGATAATGGCAGATCATCGGATCTTTTCCGTAATGCGCCAATAGCGAGATCCAAATGAGGTTTGTGCAACGATTCACTTTTGTTGTACTGAAATTTGTTGACATTGTCACAAAATTCCTTCATTGAAAATAAATTGTTTGTCACACAGTAATCGATAAACGCATGTAAATGATTTTTTAGTACTCCTTCCAATAGAACGTGCATTGGATCGAATAATAATTGCACGGTTACGCCAAATAGTTCTAATTTATCGAATAAACTTCTGTTGTTCATACCAAAGCGTTTAGAAAAATATGCAAACGTTATATTGTATCGGTCTAATTCTTCTAATTCTTTACATTGTGTTCAATACTCATTAAGAGTAACACATGGAAAATCATAGAGGATATCGCGTTCGAAACAATCTGCAACAAATGCTTCATATCATAACTTTATCAGGAAACTCTCTGTTTTACATTTAGTGACATCACATAAAAGACAAAAATATTGCGCTGAGACACTTTCTTTGAACCTATGTAAAGATGTCGACGCAGGAAAATCACCAAGAGTGAAGAATAAATCACCGAAATACCGTTTTTTGATCCCATTAACGTCCACCTCAATGCCTAAAAAAATTAGGTACAAAAGTCATGTAATATTTAGAATGCATGATACCTGTTGTTGATAGTTTTCGTATTGATGTAATAAAGTCAAGTGTTGTGTTGTATAACCCATCATAGTTTAACGCATATTTCGGGCAGGCGCTAATTAATCGTTTGGCTGCCTTTTTGGAACGATGATGCCTGGATATATTCAACAGGGACCAATAGAAAAAAAACATTTTGTGAACACGATTCCCAACTGGGTTGCTAATGTTGAGATCATCACTGTTCAGCTCAATTTTTAGATAATTTTCGTTTTTGAATTATGGATGATTCATACAGAAAGATCCACCTGAATTCTTACGTAGAGAAAATATTAGTAAGTACAGGGCGATAAATATTTTTTCATAGTGTACCGTAGAAATCATGTATGTTTTTCGGATCATGAGGAGGTAGCCTACGGTTTAGATCCATCTGCACTTCTGGCAGTTGTAAATAATGACCCAAGCTTTCGTAAAATGGAACATAACAATATTTGACTTTTTTTCCTCTGTCACGCGTTGCCCATGTTTATATGTTTCAGTCCTAACTAACTTACACATGTATAAAAGTGAGATGATTAGGAAAAGTTGATTAGTCAAAACGGCTCCTATAAGAAAGGAAAATGTTTGTCTCGTTCAATCTCAATACTTATTTTTCATAGAAAGCAATATCGAAACATCATATCAGACAAAAAACGAATGAGCTATGAACTGGAAACCGTAAGTCTCTATCGCTTTGTGTTAAAAAGTTATTAAGAAAATAACCAAGTGCACTATATTTTGGGACGGATAGTAGCAAATTGTAATGATATGTCACACTGATCTTTTGTGAATAAAAAGACCTTTTCTTATGTGTTCTTTACATTCTTCGTATTAAGTACATGGTTCTCTGTTTAGTTCGAAAAAGAAATTGAAGAAAAAGGAGTATTAAGAGCTGCACTGACGTCCACCCAAGTCGCATTCCTCTACTCAAGGCTCGCTGGTGTCCACTCAAGGCGCAAAATGGCCTCATGACGTAATGGCCGCAAAAGACAAAAAGATTCAAGAATTGCAAGTAAGTTTAATGGAAAAGGACGATAAGATGATTTGTATTTACTTTGACTTAATTCGTCGTTCATAGCTCATTCCTTTTTTGTCTGATATGATGTTTCGATATTGCTTTCTATGAAAAATAAGTATTGAGATTGAACGAGACAAACATTTTCCTTTCTTCTAGGAGCCGTTTTGACTAATCAACTTTTCCTAATCATGTGTATGTATTTCTTTACTTTTTACTTTTTGTATTTCTTTTAACTTTTATACATGTGTATGTATTTTTTTACTTATTCTCGGTGGCAAAGAGAAAGGGGGGCTTACAGACGTCTATACCATGGCCTACAAATACGCACAAAAATAAAAATAAGAATTACAAATTACAAATGACTAGGTCTTAGAGGAACTGTTGTATTTTTAACACAAATAGATTGAGAGAAGAGAGTGTCACAACATCGGGTGCTAAGCTGTTCAAGTCTTTTATTGTCCCAATTAAGAAACTATGACTTATGACCGATGTAGAAAAATTAGGTACTTCAATTTGAAATAAGTGTTTGCAAGGAGAATGCCGTATTGTTGGAAACGAAATAAAGGGAAAACGACCCAGAGCCGTACAGGCCTTTTCGTAATGGTTTCCGTTTGATTCTTGTTTTGAAATTTTTGTTACAGACCGTCAAAGGTACACCGCGTCACCACCATTCCAAAAATATTTCTTCCAATTCTGAATAATTCCTTATCGGAGAATGTGGTGTATAAAATATGTGTACACACCTTTCCTACCAGTTCTTTTAATACTTACGTTCGTCCAAACACGTTGCAGAAAGCAAATTCTGCAGCAAACCTTCTTACACGAAATTTAGTTTATTAGCAATCAAACGTTATTCTCTTTTCTAAATTCAAAGCTACCCAGATCGAATTTTACGACTGCTGTAAACGACCGTATACAGTCCTATACGACCGCCGTATACAGAGCTTCAGGACGTCACCCATGCGTTGTATCTTGAATATGTCTTGAATATCGCTTACCACTCACATAAATACAATTATAATTGTTTGCCAGAATTGAGATTCAAACACACGTACCTAGAATTATAAATCCAGCACATTCTAGTTATACTATATTGCTTGTAAACAAAAGTGTGAATTAGCTATCCATGTTTGCAATAAATTTTTTGCTGTTTTGAGAACCTTAACGTGCTGTTTTTTGTGCCGTTAACGACTAGACGTTAACCGTTTTGTTGAACCTGGGTAGTTGATCAAAAGAACACTTTGATGCCATTTTGATCACATAAAGAATACTAGTTCATATCGGAAAACTTATAAGAATAGATTTTGCGGTGGAATTCCAAGGAACACAGGTCACAGAAAACTCGCCGTATACGGCAGTCGTAAACCGACGTATTTCGTCGTAATACGACTGCCGTATACGGCTGATGTATATCACCGTATACGGTCGTTTACGACCGTGTCTATTGGACCTGGGTAAGAGAGTCGTTTTTACTATTAATAGTCCAAGAACATCTCGATAGGAAATTATCTCTTCAAAACACGTGAGAAGGCACATCTTTCCATCCTTGCACACGCCGATTATATGTATTTCTATTGGCGTGAATGATCAAACGCCGGACGGAGTCCAGGTTTCGTCAATCATTGAAGAAATCATTGTTTCTCTACATAAAGGGCTTTTGAATGGCGGGTGAATGAACTCGGTGCGTTGAGACAAGATTTACTCATGGCTGAATTACGATACCAATCTGGGACCGACTGGGATCAAGGAAAAATGGGTGCGGTATTTCGTAAAAGGACCCATATGGAACCATCTTTCAGGCTGGACAGATCAGCGACGCTTTTCTGACAGAACTAGACCATTTTCTATTCAAAAATCAAACGTTGTTCCACCGACCACTCTCTTGTCCTGCGCATAGTAGTGCACCTGAGACAGTTGATTAATTATGATTTGTATATGACTGTCATTGTAACTGTCAGATCGATGGTTCATTTCAAAATTTTATTTAATGAACTAGCAGCAAACTCGATATTATCACCAGTTATTACAAGGTTTGATGTTAGTACAGCAGAAGCTCCGTTAATAAATGAATATCCAGTGGGGCAGTCATCGAAGTACGAAAAGCCACTAGCCGGCATATATGTGCTAATTGGACAGTTTAAGCAAACATCATAAGAGATGGCACCAGTTTTCGGTTGATAAGTTCCGGGTAGACAAACTTGATAAAAGACATGAACATCTTGTGGAGACACACCGAGTTCTTCAGAAAAAAGAACACGAAGTTCTTGTCGAGAAACACCGATTTCTTCAAGGAACGACATGACGTTCTTGTGGACAAGCACCGATTTCTACCGGAAAAAGCACGAAGTTCTTGTGGAGAAACCCCGATTTCAACACAAAAAAACAGAAAGTTTGGAGAAACACCGACGTCTTCAGGAAAAGATACGAAGTGCTTGTCGAGAAACACCGATTTACACAGGAAAAGACATGAACTTCTTGTGCTTACTTCTATTCTCTCTGTCACAGTGTGCGTTCATCGTTCTCGCCTAGCCTTTAGCGGTGGTAGGAGCTAGATGGGTGACACATGCTAGTCAGCCGGGAGGTGTTAACGCTCAAAGATACTCTAAACAGCAAATTAATCAACCTTCAATTATTTTTGAAACGATCGCTTTGTTACCAAATTAAAGCTCACAGTATGGGCTAGTATAATCACTATAAACATTTTTTGAACTAAGGAGGGAACCTCTTAACGTGTAAAAACCTTTTTGAATGAGACTATTTTTAAATGTAGACCCTCATGGACTATGAAGAACTCCAACTTGGTTCGTGCGCAATCGGCTTTATTGCTGAGATATCGCATATTTACTCGAATTTCCTCCATGGGACCCGGATTTCAAGCAAAATCGTAGTTTTGAATTTCATGTTGAAACTTGTCACATATTGTAGCCCAGACCATTCGTAGTTCGATGAAAAAAGGCCGAACCGAAAGCCTCTTTCCGCTGTTGTGAAAAAAATTTTCCAAAATGTGTTCCAGGTTTTGTCTTTGATACCTATATCGAAAACGTCCTTCACCGCAGAGAAAAGAGCTTTCCAGCTCGGCCTTTTTTCATCGAACTACGAATGGTCTGGGCTACAATATGTGACAAATTTCAACATGAAATTCAAAACTACGATTTTGCTTGAAATCGGAACAGCGAATACAGCGACGATGCCAAGGAGGACATATCGTATGATGATAATTATCAGCTGGAAGATGAGAATCTACTACATCGTTATAGTCTTGAATATATGGAAAAAGTAGTGAATTACTATAATGAAAAAAATTTGAAAACAGGCAGACGCAAACAAAGTTGGTCAACCGTTCAACATCGTTTCCTTCGTGTTCCGTATCAGCAATATATCTCTCGTTTTCGTCACTACCTTGAAGCGCATGGAACCAAGATACAAAAAATCGAAAAGGTCGACGAATATGTATCTAATAAGTTCGAAAAGGCTCGAGAAAAACAACTACCAGTGCATGATCTCGATTTAAAACGTTGGACCTTAATGATTGCGAAAGAACACTCTTTGAATGATATTACTGCCTCGCATAGTTGGGCCGATAATTTCAAGTATCGACACAACATATGTTCAAAAAAAATCACAAAACTCGTTACAAAACGACAAGTTGAAAATCAAGATTTAATTAATCAATCAGCTGATAGTTTTGTAGCTGAAGCTCGTAAGATTTTTCAAAAATATGATGACGACAATATTCTTAACACGGATCAGATAGGAATAGAACTAGAACTTCATTCTAATCGTACACTGTCATATCAAGACGAGAAGACCATTGTCGGGTGTGTACGTTCAATCAGTGCAACAACACATTTATATACATCAGTCACTAGAAGAGAACGCGTGCTACATTTCGGTAAAAGGATAATTTTGAAATGTTTTTTCCTTAGGGACAAACCGCGGTTTTGAGCCGAAAGTGCCATACTCTTTATCTGACTGCTCAATCTCAGGAATGAGTGCAGTGAGAAAACGATGTCCCACAAAATATTGATTTTGTTTGTTCTTAAGCACATTTTTTTGACATTTTACCTCAAAATTGATTGTTGACGTCTTCATGTCAAAAGAAAGTTTTGCGATCTAAGTGTTTATTGACTTCAAGAAGTGGCTTTGATCTGTCCCGCTTATGTGCCGTCTTTTAACGATGTAAATTTTACAATTCGAAGATTGGTCAAATTCTTTCATTTAACTTGAATGAAATCAAATCATTTAGTTTTCTTCGAAAAGAGCCATATAAATTGTCTGTACTTAATCACGATGGCCTTGTTATTGTTCTGCGCATGCAGATGCCAAGAAATGTTCAGGGGATTGAAAATAAATTAAAGAAGCCAATGAACATAAAACATATTGAATTACAGGGATAAATAATACATTCGAACAATGAAATCAATTCTTGTTACAAAAAACAAATATAGCAAATGTGTGTCGACTTTTTTGTACAAAAGAAGAAAAAAACACAGAAAATAGTAATTTTGTTGAACGAGATATTTATTGTAGTTGCAAGTCAAACAGACATGTGTATATGATCACAACTCACATGTATAATATCATGGAGAGTGCGATCATAAATGTTGCTGTTGACGAAAAAACAAATTGTTGTTTTTCATCATGTCTTATAAAGTTCGGTTTCTGGCAAGAAGAAGAAGTATGAGGAATTCTTACAGCTATTCTTCATCTCGAATACGACATCTTCGGCCGACGACATTTGTTGCGGTTAGTTGATGGCAGATGATACCGTTATCTTTGCTGGTGTATTTCTATTGAGTGATATATAGTTCCCATCATATGACAGGGGAATGCGCGCGCAAAACAGTGTAGTGTTATCATTTATTGTTGAGCGTGCGTGTTAGATAGCTTCCATCTTTCAAAGATATAGATAGCAAATCTGGCTCTTGTTGAGAATTTTTAGTTTTATAACAAGAAACATACCAAAAAGGTTACTACTGGTAACATCGAGTGGATTGCACAACTTCGATTGTTGTACAGAATACACTTATTATCCATTTTCACGTTCACTGCAAACAATCAATTTACATTCATTTACATTGGATCGACAAATGACATTCAACGACACATCACCCTCAATGGTGCAAATCAACAAAGAGATAATACAAAATTGCTTCTCATCGTCTCATATGCGCTGATAAATTCTGTTTTTGTTTTGTAAGAAGAAATGTGCACGAGTAGACCGAACGCTCCCGTATATTTGCAAACAACTAAATTTGTACAATACTAGAATACTAGAAAATAGATACCCATATCATTATATTTCTTGGTGTTTGAAGAGATGATGAGCATCGATATGAGTATTTATATTATCGGGTGTCAAATTATTTTGTTATCATATATCACTTAGATAAACATAAGATAACCTGTTATTTTACTGTATTCATACTCTGCATACGTCTGAATACAGAGAAATGTATTATTAAAAGAAGTAAGATGTAAGTTTAGATTTTTACTGCTTCGTTTTTATGAATTCTGATATTTATTCATTCCATAAGGAACCTGTCATTCATTATTACATTGTTCCGTTTTATAACGTGTTTTCTTGTCAGAGCTATTATATATATAGAATCTAACAAACCGTTTTATTTGATAGTGATCAGCAGAAAAATTACATTTTTCGATTTTTAAGGCTGATATTTCATACTTTTAACTGATTGCCCATCCAAAAATGAATAACCTATGACCCCAAAATGGTCTATTCCATCTAGTATCGGTTTTCTCTAGGTTTTCAATTTTCTTCTGCAGAGAAACATTGCCACAAGATTCGTGATGGTTGAAAACCTCTATTAAAATCGCTTTTAAGGTTTCTCAGCCAACGCATTGAGCAGTCCAAGGGCTTTGCGAAAAATGCTTGTAGCTACCGAATCATGTTAAATGGAGATGTCACCTACATCCCATTTTGTGGAGGGCACTATATTCTATCTAATGATGTAAAAAAAACAATAGTTTAGTAGTTCAAATTTTTCTGTTATGCATGAGTTTTCTAGAGATAGCGTCAAAAACCAATGTTTGAAAAACGTTTTACTTGCAAAAAGATGGTGCACGAACTGCTCTTTCCATATCTGAAAACCCACCACCCTAGCTCTTTCTATTTTTGAGTTATTGAAACAATGGTCATGGGTTATTCTTTTTTTGGATGAACAATAGTTTGAAGTTAAATGAAAACTAGGAGTTAAATTCAGATTGTTCTGAAATTAGATAAAATTAAAGTGCTTCTAATACTTCGGTAGCACCGACATATTTTCAAAATAATTTTTTCGTCTCTAAGCATCAAAGATAAATTAGTGAATTATTAGATGAGATGACACTGTCGTTCTTTATTTTTGACATCGTCTGTTTATTATTTCAAAATGCATCTATTTTTTCCCATCAAACAACATAGTCTTAAAGTCAACTAATTTTTTCAAATCGTTCAAATCCTCAAGTGAAAACATGTATTGTTTAGGACGAAGGGAATTAATTACTGACTATATAATTTTAAAGTTTAATGAAACAAACTAACGTTGATCTTCCATTCACTCGATTCTGACTGAAGGAAGTTGATTCTAATGAAGTGAACAATCACGGGAAGAACGAATCAGACCTCCTACGGCTGAGTTTCGCCGTCGCATATCCGTAGAAATATTTCTCGCATGAATTAAATTTGAAGAAATCCATAAACATCTTTTCTCTTGAGGAGCTGTCCTTCGTCGTATTACAGACTCTCCATTTCACTGCTATGAATGTCAGTCTATAAACACTATAAAATACGCCAACAAACTTACTAACGAAGACTTGGTAGAGACTGATGAATTAGAAAAAACTTTGATCAATAGCCCAGGTCGTCATTCCTGAGTCAGAAATCGTTCAGAGCCAGCCGGATCCAAAGTCGGAAGGCGTCAGATTCCGACAAAATCCGTTCCGATCCACAGTGTGCATTCAGGCGAAGTTTAGTGGAACTCCAATTTTGATGAAACTTTCAGAGAACGTTGTCCTCTATATGACATGTCTACACGGCTAGCACAAATTAGCACAAGTACTCCAGGACCTTGTGGCCGTTTTCCAAATACCTCTTGGTTTTTCGGATAAATTCCATTTATCTCGACCCAGAAATGTTCTTATTCAATAAAAATGACATATTTGGGATTAGTGCAAAAAACTGCATCGAATGGTGTGTAGCTTCTCAATTTTTCTGCAGAAGTATTTTTGATCATACTGAATTATAGAGTTCAAAGCCTTCCCGATGCAAATTTTGCCTGGGAATTTGGATATTTGTTTTAGCGATAGTGCGAAAGTCTATAAACACTTCTACAGCATATGCTCGCCTGCTCTATAGAAAAATGCACACTATGCGCTCCGTGTTGGAATTGCATCGGAGTCCTATTGCTCGGATTCCAATCGGAAATTGTAAGGAAAAGATCCGACCGTCAGAAACAGGATCGAAAAGCACCGGATTTACGGGTAGTTTTTCTAGCCGTTAAGAGCTAATATTTAGCCATAAATATATTTCTTCTTATTTACTATTTATTCTTTGAATCAGTTCGCGGGATTAGCCGAAAGCGTGTGGGACTGACTGAGTTTTGACGACTCATACTGTTCAGTGAGAAAACTTAAAGAAAAAAAAATCTCATGTGTCATGTTCTACAGTGTCGTATTTAAACTAAAAACACCGACAAAGAAATCAAAATCGGTGAATATATTCACCGTATGGAGCAGCAAAAGGAAAAAAAAGAAAAGAACAAAAAGAAAGAGGTATAGGTGGACGAATCCGTTCACTTCCGACCATCAGATTCGAACGGTTCGATCATAGAAGCCGGTGATCGAATCCAGCTTAGGTCCAGACATTGGACTATTACGGAAGGAACAGAAATTAAACGTGTCGATATTTCTTTTAGTACATTATTAACCTTCTGATAAAACAACTTACAGTATATGTTACGAGGACAGCTGACTGATGGAACCTATGAGGTGGGTGAACCAGTATCAAAAATAACAGTAAAATATTGTGTAGGTGTACCAACATCTATTCGGCCATACCAATATAACTAGAATATAGAAATAATTTAATAAAAACAACAATAATAACTAAATAAAACGTACGTCTAAATGATTCGATAATTTTTCATTAACTACTTTTCTCATATTATTATTAAATTTATTGGCATGATAATGTTTCATTGTTCGATTTGCTTTGCGATAGATTGATATTCTAAATTATCAGAGACACAAACATCAGCATATTATTTGATGTTCTTCTTTTACTCAACCGTGATAGTGACCGTGTTGAAGTATAACCGGAAATATAAGCAACAACATTAATCAAAACATACGCCACGAGTAGTTGATGTATCGTCATTATTACGATTTCTCTGAATTATAAACAAAAAGAAAACAAATTTAGAAATTAGAAAATTTCTGACGTTTTTGGTTTTTTTCTGGAATGCACTATTTTCAAAATAAATGCATTTTACACTTCACAGTACCACCGCCATTTCGGCAAAATTGGTTTATCTGGAAAACTACTGTTTGCTCCAGGAAAAACCAAAAACGTCAAAAATTTTCTAATTCCACCCTAGTGGAACTTCTTCTACCCAAGATCTTGGGTTAAGAAATGTCACAAGATTTTGGAAAAAACACCAAGAAGTCAAGGTCTTGGATTCTTGAATTTTCCACTTAAGATCTTGGGTTAAGAATTTTCAAGATCTTGGGTGGCGTAAGCCAAGATGTTTCAAGATCTTGGATTCTTGAATCTGTCACTCAAGATCTTGTATTAAGAAATTTCAAGATCTTGAGTGAAGCCACTCAAGATGTTGCAAGAGCAAGAATGACAAATTTTCTTTACATTTTGTTTTTATTTATGACAGTCGTAGCCACTGGATATACGA